CCCCAAAACCCCAAAACCCCAAAACCCCAAAACCCCATGAGAATAATAAAGTAGAATAAAAATAAAATGTTCGTAAAATCGATAAATTAAAAATATGGGCTAATAAAATTCTAATCTCTCAGTATATTCCTTAGTTTTGATCTTTGTCTTTAGAAACTGTGCTGCAACAATAATCTCTGCAACTACGACAATAATGTGGAGAATTTAACTGAGGTTAACAAGCGAGGCAATATGAATGACGAGTAGCTATTCAAATAAAATGGAAGAAGCAACAATGCCTACAAAAGTAAAGGTGGATAATAAGATTAAACCGATTAAATTGATGTTTTAACTGATAAGTCTAAAAGATAGCAAATGAAGAATGCTTTTGAATCACAAGATAATGAGCTTAAAGCGAGATTATAAAGACTAGCTCCTAGAGCCCCTAAAGTTGAGTTAACAGTAAGTAATTGAAGAAAATATCTCATTTTCATGCTCATTCCTTGCAATAAAATAACTATTGAGAAAGAGATTTAAAATTTAAACAGGTTGTGAGTTCTGCAACTCTCTAAAAGGGAATGCTTATTAATGTGGATGCAACCGGACTAATAAGTCAAGAATCTAAAAGAGGTGTTATTGATGGTATTGTGTATTTCGGTAGGAAAAAGAGTATAAAAAAGGGCACTCATGATCCTAATGCAGAGACTACAACAAAACCAGTAAGATATATTTATGGACCATTATTGAGAGATTAACAATTTTTTACTAGAAATAAGTGGTGAATGATTTTGTGATTCCTAGTAAAAATGCCTAGACTGCTGAACAGTAACGAGGAAGACACTTCCAACTTAGATTCGATGCTGATGCTCTAAAGTATTTTATTAAGGATCTAGGAATCGGGCATGGTGTGTTCGTCAAATAAGAAGAACCAACTGTACTATATTCTGATTTAAAGGATTAATTTAGATTCTAAAAGACAACATGATCATTAATGTGGGAGAGGCTCACATTGTTGTGAATCTATTAAAAGACTAAGGTGATGAGTATGATAGCTACTAGGCGCCAAATGAACAAGCCAGACTGAAGCTAAAGATTTTCGGTGGTCCTTCCTCAGGTGAAATATTGTAAGCTTAGATAGTTTATTGAGCATCTTTAGTTATTTCAAAAACGAAGGTTAAGAAATAGTAATTGGTAGAACACCAAACTGTGACATTCGCATAGACGACAAACTTCTTTCCAAATCTTAAGCACATATAAAATGCCACGAGGGTCAGTGGATCTTATTTGATGGCTATAATGACAAACCTAGTACGAACGGTACATGGCTATATCTGAATGAAGACTTTGAAATGTATGACGGCATGGTTTTCAAAGCTAACCAAACAATATTTAATGTTAAAATTTTAGTTTGAAACCCACCTTAAAATATTATTTGCTGCCTAATCATAAGTAATTTATTTTTAACAATAACAATTTTCACTTAAAAAGGTGAATATTATGTCTATGGGGGTTTTGGGGTTTTGGGGTTTTGGGG